ATGTGGTATCCGGTCATTGCGAAAAGTTTTTTGTACCACTTCAATATTGTTACGCATTTGCCAACAAACGTTTGGTTTCTGGGTACATTATCAAAGAACTTTGGGGGTGATATGGCTGGCAGAAAGGCGAGCAAACGGTCAATGAAAATGGACTCTAAAACAACAATAATGAAAAGAACCGTTTGTGGTGATGGTTGAGTAATGCTTAGCTATTAGGGTGTTCTACATGAAGGAGGCTAGCGAGCTGTATGTTGTTTGAAACAAGAGTGACGCGCTTGGCATAGATGGCCCACAGCGACTCACGACTAGCAACTGAATCCGATCAGTAGTGGTGCGGTTTCTTCCTCCTTCATCGGTGAATCAAGGGCTCGTGTGGGCAGCTTTGATAGCAAGCTGCATTTGGGGAGCATTTTGTAGTGTACTGGAGAAAAATTTACAACGCCACGTGCCGAAAACACTGCTGTTGATGCAACCGGCACCACCACTCAACCGCGGTGATTTATTGAACATCATTCGGCGAGACCGGATGGAATTCGATTTTGAAATCTGTGTTAGGGAAAGAGCGCAGGCAAAGAGCGCAGGCAATCGGTGATAATTGTAACTATCATATCAACAGTTGAAAATTGATAAAATCTTAATTTAAGCAGATTCGTAGAAAATTTTCCTTTCGCACACCAAAACTAGGTTGTCCCATCCATAAGAGCATGTGAAGAAATAAATTTTCAACAGCTTTTTTCTCGGCTTGCTGTTGTAGCGGCCCCGAGGTAGCTACGGTGCTGTTGGTTGTTCCCTATAGGTTTATTAAACGGATGGCTTAAGTGCCACCTCCGAAGAGGACAACCTGCCGTGTTTCACAATGCCCGGCTAGATACTGGCCCAATGAGCCAGTTCTAAAATTAGTCAACAGTGTCGAGAACAAGACCAACATACCCGAGTGACTCAAGAAAGGAGTGAGCATACCCACCCAATATCCTAACTAACGAATCCAAAAAACTTCCAATCCCGAAAACCGATCCAAACAGGAGTTTCATCACAGGAAGCAATCCCTATGACCTATCAATTCAAGCTTACACAGATAAAAATTCTGAATCTTAATTGTGATGTAAACATTCATTCACGTAAACTTAAATTTCATTTCACGTAACCGAGCAACTTGTAAACAATGTTGTTTACAAAGATGGGCTTTTGTATACAATATATGCTACATTGCATGAAATGTGTCAGAACTTTACATGATATATAATGTAAACTTATATGATATGTGACGCTCCATTCATGTGCATCATATAGAACAGAAATTTACACTACTTTTTCGAACAGTGTGATTTAGAAGATGGGTAACACAACCAATTCAACGAAAAAATGGCTGAACGTGAAACAACCTTCAGATTCTCTCATTAAAAACTTACTAACACTGAAGACTGATTTACTTTGGGAGTAGAAAACTTCATTCTACATTTATTCAGTTTAGTTTTTCCTAGAGTTCTGTTCCCCTCCATCTGACTAGTGCGGTCGATCGACTATTCTCCTAGCGCGCTATCATTTGTGTGTCCGTGCTAACGGCCTTGCATGCAAGTGTGGGTTTGCTACTTACAATTTTGAAAGCTTACGTTGGCGAGCTGATGTCCTCCTACTGCGCTTGAGACTTAGCGATGCTTCCCAAGCAAGACACATGTTCTAAAACAGTTTATATAACCTTTATATGACTGGTTTTGGTTGCAAAGCAGTTTACTCCACATAATTCTATTAATTTGTGTTACTTGGGTAGTTCTTGCACGAGGTGCCGTGAACCGGTCTTGGTGACGAGCTGCCGAACTCAGTCAGTGGATGGTGGCTTGCTGGATGTTAGCCGGAGTGCCCTGGTGACGTAGGAAACTCCCTTCCGATACGTGATTCCAGAGCGTGAGGCAGCGGCATTGTCGAGCGATCGCTTTGTTGGCCATTGAGCACTAACATGATTGGAACACACAAATTTTGTAAACTGATTTTACCTTTGAACACTTTCACAAAACTTGCACAACAATTACCGCTCTACAAATCTGTCTAACTTTGCTAGCCTACACGGTGAAAATTAAATTGAATAAATTAATCTGAGGACACTTCACGTTCTTTTACCACTAACCAATCCCAAGTAACTAAAAGTTTTGATAAAAGGCTTTTTGTGGCTTAAGCAGCTTGGCTGAAGATGGTCTATGGAATTCTAAGCAGCCTCATTTTTAAGTCGTTATCAGAACATGAAAGTTCCGGTACCATAATTGAAGAGCATTCTAAGCAGCTTCTGGCGGAACTTTTAGAAAATAAGTTTTTGTCCTCTACACCAATTCTATATTTAGTTCGCACTTTTATAAAAGTTAATTCTAAAGTCAGGTCTTCATGAAAGTTATATCTAAAGGCAGGTATGAACGTGCTTTGATTTATTAGCAAAAGTAGTAGTATTGAAGCTGTTTGAAGAATTAAACCCATTCCTTCTGCGTAAGAGCCCCAGCATGAACCGCTACGTCATCTGACAAATATTAAAGTGAGATTTTGTCCCGCCTACTGTTGCAGTTTTCAGAGCCAGCTGACTGACTTGAATACGAAACACAACACCTTGATGAACTTGATGTCTGCCCAACACACTTGTGGAACAGTGGTTAGCGTTCGTAGTTTGCATGCCAAATACACGGGTTTGAATCCAGGAAATTGCCCTTTATTCTTATTTTTTAGGATGCAATATTGATGCACTGCATATATAAGAATTATGATTCATTTGAGCCACTGATCATTTCATATGCAAGTACATTCAATTTTGTTACTTATAAGGACTTCTGCGGATTGCTTCATGTGGGCTATGATGGACCTGTTTAAAAACTTTCAAGTTCCTAAGAAGTTCTGCAGTGAACTTTTAAGATACTTTAAAGTTGCTAAGAAGTTCCGCTGGGAACTTGTTCGGAACTTTGTTGTGGCCATGTTTTCAGCCTTGCCCGGATTTTTTTTTTTTTTTTGAACTTCAAGTTGCTAGGAGTACGCATCGGTTCTTTTTGGAGCCTGAAGTTCCTCGTACGCTTTCTATAGCCAGCCATGTTGTGTTAGAACTTTATATGCACTTATGGAACTTGAAAGTGGGTTTTATCGTTGAATGCGGACATTTGGGTGGCTTGGGAGGAACGTTCTGTCGGAACTTTATTTGAACTTTATGGAACTTTAAAGATCTTCCGGAATTTTATTTGAACTTTATGGAACATGAAAGTTCTGGCGGAACTTTATTTGAACTTATTGGAACTTGAATCTTCTGTCAGAACTTTATGGGACTTGAAAGCTATGAAAGTCACTTCCTCTATCAATTCGATCACACAAATATCGAGGCAGCAAAAAGTTAACTACTTTAAAAATGAACACCATTGTCAAATATAGAATTCTTTGCTTCACCGACAACCATTGTAAGGCGTCTAACATCAAAGTTGAGGAAGTGAATCTATTACATTTCAAAATCAAACGCATTATTCCAATTTGCAAGCGCTGTAATCTCGATATTTGTGTTGTATTGACCAGAAATAAAATGGAAGGACAAAAGTCTAGATGAGGAGAGATGATTGATTTGTATAGTTTACTGGAAATAGTTAAATCGTTCTTCTGTCGACATAGAATTCTTGGCAATTTTCTTGATGACATTGTCAATGTGAAAGTTGAACTTAAGTTTTTTATCAATAATCACGCCAAGATATTTAATCTCCCGAACGCGATCAATAGTCTCATCACCAATTACAACAGAGTTGTTCTCATTTAATCGATTCCGCAAAAAAAACCATAAATTTAGTTTTACTTGTATTCAATTTGAACTGCTTATACATCAACCATCTATTGAGAGCACGCAAATCTTCATTCAAATATAAAACGGCATCATCTAAATCCTTAACTGCAATGATTAACAAAGTATCATCTGCAAAAAGATTAATGTCGCAAAATCTTAAAACATGTCACAAGTCATTAATATACAAAATAAATAACAGGGGCCCTAATACACTTCCCTGGGGCACTCCAAGGTTATTCCCCATGGAACTTGAAACAGAATCATTAAACACAGTCCGTTGAGTTCTGTCAGACAAATAGCTTTCAAACAATTTATATGCAGTACTCGTAATTCCAAAGCGCTTGATTGATCTTAACAATAAGGGCTTGGAGATTGTTTCTAAAGCGCGTTTAATATCAAAAAAAACAGCAACAATCGTATCTACTGCTAACAAATTTTAGAACTATCCCATTCAGTTTTTTTCTATCCGAGTAACGATCAACACGAATAGTGGATCTCTTCAAAGAAGCGACGTAAGTAATACGTATTCGCTAACCTATTTACGCGTAGGCAACTGACTTGCATACAAGGTGAAAACTACGATCCGTTTAATTTCAGTTCACTTCAGTTCACTCCAGTTCATTTCAGTTAATAATATAAATTGATTTAATAAACGACGATTACTTTAGGAATTATTTTTTGAAAATAAATAAGAAAAAAGTTACAAAAATATAATTTAACCAAAATTGTCTACCGTAACACTGTTTTTCTAGACGGGACTGATATGCGATTATGGCCAGCGTAGGATTAGGTGAAATGTGGATGCGGTGACGTTTTAGTTAGCAAGCATTTTTTGAATTTTCAGTCCGATTCTCTCTCCTATGTGTGCCATCCGGGAAGCTCGTTTAGGTTTAATAAGGCGTGTTGCACGGTGCTGCATTTGCATCGAAACTACAAGAAGACGATTTTACCGATGCATTGTGAAATCAACATAGTCTAAAAAACTAGACAACATTAGTATTATAAAATTCATTGAAACATCTTCCAACGAGGACATTACAGAATCTATGCATGCGGTATTTCATTTTGCACATCACTTATTTCAAACACCAAGAGAATCTTTCGATACCCGGTTCAACAAACAAGATAAAATTAAATATATTTTATTGAAAAAACACAACTTTACAAAATATTTGGTATGAGAACTTTGCCGCCATGCTTGCTTTTTTGTTCAGAATATAAAATCATCTGACCATATGCTGTCCTTACAAAATGAAAACTTTTCCGCACAGTCCCCAACATGGCCATGTGCTTCGTCGTACATCCGATGCTTATGAACGGTGCTCGCTTCATGTGTGGTTGGCATACTGCAAGCAGAATCACAAAATTATTATTCTCAATGCTCCAATCCATTTCATTTCCAACAATTACCTAAACACTGCCTTCAAAATCTCCTTCAAAAACGGTTCCGGTTCAGTATGGTTTTTCCGTTGTCCGCTTTCACACAACGCTCGCAGCACGCAATGATGTCCGTGTTTTCCTTTTCTGGAATGGTTGGGTGAGGTAATCAGTCAATGTTTAGAGTTGGAATTCGGTTCGTCCAGATTCTTACGCTTCCAGAAATTTTTCAATCTGCAGATACAAATCATGCCGTGTCGAACGGTGATGGTTCAGGAAGAACTTATCCTCGGGATGAGTGTGTTCGTCGATGCTACGTTTGCCAAACACCGGGTAAAATCGCCGTTTACTATGGTTATAGTTGGGTGGGTGATTTCGGACCCACGTTTGCATGTACCTACATAAATAATAATATTTTTTTTATAATTACTTTATTTGTACAGGCTCAATCGAATAAACTTTACAAAGCCGAGTTATCCTTTGCGTTATACATTATTACTGTCTTAAATTTAAAGTTAAAGGTAAATAATAATATTTACTACAATTATCGACAACTTAATCCAAAACTATCCTGGAGTCACCACTTACCTAGCAAAAAGACTGCTCCAATCGTTTCTAGTCCAATTATATGGTGATAGAAAGTTTGAGGGCAAATTTTCAAACGAAAACCCTGGTTTTTGGGCATGTTGCTGTCCCTGAGGGACATAATTGCTGTAATTACCTCTCGTATAGTAATTTATACTGTTAGAATAGCCCATCTGTGCTGGCGACGGCTGATGCAGCAGATTATTGTAGTAGCCACTCGGCTGCGTGTCATAGGGGTTATCGTAATAGTATGCGTGTTTATTACTTTTGTCGTATTTACTGGTGCTTGTGTCGACCAGGATGGTGGCATTGATGTCTCCATCCTTCCGTCGAAGACTCCCTTGAGCCGTTTTTTCTTGTAGCATTTTTGAGATTTCAAATATGGAAACACTGGGTAACTGCCAAGCCATAGCAATCGTAATGCCAACGGTGAACAAACGGGTGTTTCCAATAATTGGAATTGTTTGATCGTATACTGAAATTGAACCCGGGAGAAGCACAATTAACGATTATGGTACATCGCTTATATAAAAAGCATAAAATTCTTTTTGAAATCCCTATCATATCACACAATTTCTTATGAACGGCCAACAACAATTAGATTCAAACACTGACCAACTTGAAACGAGCTGCCTTCAGGAAATTTTAGGAAACGTCTTTTTCTAGACAGAATTCTGCTTCCGCTTCCTCCGCCGTCATCCGGAGCTTGATCGTACTTTGATAACACTGTATCATGATTCTGTCTCTTGATCTCCTCCGAGCTCAATGATGCAATCTGATTGATTATCAGAATAGCTCCAATATAGTAGATGCTCCTGTTTGAACTGAATCTCATTCTTAATTCTGCTCTGGCACTGCACTAATGCAACATATAATTACACTTTAATCTAATATAAAATACAATCCTAACTACAGCTTTCACTTCTGCGTGTCAGCTAAAGCACCTCCTGAAGTATGACTGAGGGCAATACAGCAGAACGAGCAAGAAATTTTAGAATGGAAGCGTGAAAATGACTTCGACAAACAAAGCGAAAGTAGATCATCAGCTCACTACAGCGTATGTACATCGACCTATTTACGATTGAAGTGAGAATTACAACTGAAACATGGTTGTCGAAAGTAGAGAAAACGTTGTTGCTTTCGTGTTTTCTTCGTATAGCATCGCCTTGCTTATGCTACACACAAATCAAGGTTTCGGTTGATCGGTATTTTTTTAACAGCGGAACTATTCGGTAAAATCAGTGAAAATTTCAAAAAAAATAGGAAAAACAAACCCGAACTTGCACAGACTTTGTTCAGTGAACCCCATTTAATGATAAAAAAAATGAAATTTGAAGATTTTATTGATATTTTACGTGTAACGGTCATTCAAAATTTTACCGACTTTTTCGGCTGTTGAAAAACCCAGTAAAATTTTGCCGACTTCGGTGATCTGAATTCAGTATGTATGACGAAATAGACATTTTGAACTAGGGTGTAAATCGTAAATAGGTCGATGTACATATCTTGGCAGTGAGCTTATGATCGCAGTAAGCTTCTACAGGTGATTTGTGTTTGTCGAAACCATTTTCAAGCTCTAAAACTAGATTACATTCTATTTGCTTCGCTTGCTTTGCTTTGCTTAGTTATGAAGACTCAGGAACAACCGGAACATATTACAGGTTCCAAGAATCACTTCTCTCTAAATTATGTTTAGTTGTCTTCGCAGCTACAACTCTGCAAGGAAAGGTATAAGGATACGGGCAACAAAACCGGTCGCTGAAATTACTACCGGTGCTTTAAGGTCACTGATTTGTTTTCCACTTAATCAGATCTAACTGGCGTTAGCGTTAGCGTTGTTATAATATACTTTGTAGATTGGATACAGGCGATACTCACGACTCGTTTGAAATTCTCAGTCAGACTACTTTCAGGAATAATGCTGGGGAATAAACATTGATTCCAATCTAAATAAGAATAACAGAAGCATGACTGTCGCTATTTAACCCGGCCACGCACATCTTTACCATAACTAGGGATATGGAAGGAGATGTTGGTGTAGTACTTTCTTAATGAGAGGTCACCAACTTAGCGAAACTTTAGAGTACGGTAGTTTTTGCTTCCAGTCGGCGGCTAAAACTCACATCATCAAACTGGAACGTATCCAGTATCGTTTTCTTCGTATCGCGTTAGGATGCATGCAGTCGACTCATACAATGAGTCTCGAAGTGTTGGCGGGCATGTTGCCACTATCGGATCGGTTTTCGGAATTGTCCCACAGGCTCCTCACCCGTTGTGAAGTTATGAACCCACTGGTAATCGAAAACTTTGAGAAGCTTCTTGAGCTAAACCCTCAAACTCGTTTTATGTCATTGTACTACGTGTACATAACTCAGGATGTCAGCCCTTCACAGCATAATCCCCATCGTGTATGCTTCTCCGACTTCGGCAATTCAGTTAGTTTTGATTTATCTATGACGCGGGAGATTCGTGGAATCCCAGAACATCATCGTTCCATGATTGTTCCGTCAATTTACGCTGCAAAGTTTGGCCAAGTTTATTCCCCAAGATCGTTCTTCACAGATGGATCACTAATAGAGTCGTCCGCTGGTTTTGGTATTTTTAACGAATTTCATAGCGCCTCTCGAATGCTTCAAGCTCCTTGTTCCGTATATGTTGCTGAACTGGCGGCAATACACTATACGCTAGAAACGATCGCCTCACTTGCACCAGATCACTATTTTATTTTTACGGATAGTCTCAGTTCTGTCGAGACTATCCGTTCCATGAGGCCGGTAAAGCACTCCTCGTATTTTCTCATGAAAATACGAGAGCTTTTAAGTGCTTTATCTTTTGTCATCACCTTTGCATGGGTCCCATCTCATTGCTCGATTCCGGGCAATGAGATGGCGGACTCACTTGCTAAGGTGGGCGCTATGCAAGGCGATATTTACGATCGACAAATCGCCTACAATGAATTTTTCTTCATTTATCGTCAACAGTCGCTCACCAGCTGGCAAAATAAATGGAGTGAAGGAAGTTTGGGACGATGGCTATTCTCGATCATCCCTAAGGTGTCGAAGAGTCCTTGGTTCAAGGGGTTGGATGTGGGTCGAGACTTCATTCGTCTGATGTCTCGCCTCATGTCCAATCACTATTCGTTAAACGCTCACTTGTTTCGTGTTGGGCTGGGAGACAGCAATCTCTGTGAATGTGGACAAGGTTACCAAGACGCCCATCACATCCTTTGGTCTTGTGCTGAGCATCGTGGAGTCAGATCTGAGCTGTGCGATTCCCTTTGGGCTCGAGGTAGACAACCTAATGTTCCAGTTCGGGATATTTTGGCTAGACGTGATCTGGAGTTTATGAAACTCATATATGTTTACTTTAAGAATACTAACCTTAGATTGTAAGGTTGATTAATCTTGTGTTTAGTTTGTGTATTGTGCGTGTAGTTTTTTTTTTAATGTTTGTTTTCAAGATGAATAGAAATAAGTTCATTTTTTAGGATTAATTAAATATTTGTATAATAAATCATATTTCAAACCTCCTTCTCCCTTTCCCCATCCAAAAAATTGTAAATCTCCACTAACCTCGAGACGACCGCGAGTAATCGGTTCAATTCCTTTAACTCTAGATTTAAGACATTAATCATGTATAATGCAAATGATAACTCGGCTCTGTAAAGTTTATTCGATTGAGCCTGTACAAATAAATTAATATAAAAAAAAAAAAACTTAGCGAAACCCGCTTAAGTGCCATGGAGTTGGAGGGTTGGGTACGGTTTGGATTCGCCTCAAGTTGGCAATGCAACCAAAAATATATATCCGGAGTGATTTGAGATTTTGGCGTAATTGCTTTTTTAAACAAACACGTCAATTACTGATTTCTCTTGAATAAAAGCTCAATCTCACAAACAAACTATACCAAATGATAGAGGAATCATTCCTCTACCTCATTGTGTTATTACTTTTCGAGATTGAGCTTTTATTCGCAAAATATCGGTGATTGACCTGTTTGTTTACAAATGCAATTACGCCCAAATATCAAATCACTCCGGAAATTGTTTATGTGTTGCCCATTTGATCTTTTGATAGCTGACTAACAAAAGAAAATATAAAGTTGAAGATGCTAATTTTAAATAACAGACTGTAGTGGTAATTTTTATACGATAGATGGAGTAGATGAAAGCATAGAGTTGATAATTCCGTTAGAGTACGGCAGTGTGAAGATTGCATATAGATATTAGAATAGCGAGCTAGGACAACTTTTAAGGAAGGTACAAATCGGTTTTTTATCTCTCTTTACCAAACTCCCCCTTTGGAGAGGGATGGTGAAGGGTGTGTCCCCCCGCCACCACTGGCAAAAAGAGATGAAAACCGACCCGCTCAAGTACCAACTGTGTGTTTGAAACAGTTCTACCGATTTTTACCGCACTTCAGTTGTTATTTGAAGGAAGGCATCCAGTTGTAGGTTTAGAAATTGCAACTATTGTTTACCCCTACCCCTAAGAAAATATTAATTTTGTTTAGTGATTTTGCATTTTAAGAGAAATGGAGATGGAGAGCTTGGGAGCAATCCCACGATTTTCTGCTCAGTAAGCAAAAACGATCCCTCCATGGTCATCGAGCATCTCAGAACAATAACGTTTCGCGACTAAACGCGGCAACGTTTTTGCTTGCTATGTAACGAACGACTGAAATACGCGATAATGCAAATAGCATCCGAGGTTGATGGTGAATCTTAAATATACAACTTACGATGGTGATTTATTGTACTGTGGAAGATCTTGAGGTTAAATCCATGATTTTCTGCTCAGTAAGCAAAAACGATCCCTCCGGGGTCATCGCGCATCTCACAATCAACAGCACTTCGCGCCAAAGTACAATTAAGTTCTCTTTTGGTATGTAGCGAACGATTAAGATACACTATAGTTAATGTTTTTTCTACGGTCGATGGTTAATTTAAAATATACGAACAGTACTGCCAACGACGAAGATAACAGCGAATTTTGAGCTTACTTTCTGCCTAGGATAAAACACTTTGACACCAGTAGTTCCAATTATTGTTCTTTGTTTTCGTTCACTCCGTGGTAGACGCTCGGGTTGGCGAAGTATTTCCTCTAACGCCGTGTTTCGGTTAACGTGCCAGTGTTCGCGCCGCATCTCCTCACTTTGTTATTGTCGTATTGACAGCATTGCCCATGCTACGCCACTCAGCTGTGTCTACATTTCAGCTGGTAGTCGTTTTTTGATATCTTTGGATATCCTACAATTTGGCGCGCGCGAACACTAGACTTCTTTATCAAGTTAAAGGATTAACGCGCGCACATACCGCATCACATACGGGACTTCCTCAACTTTAGCGAGCCTAGCTGGGAGAACCAGTAGTAGGGTCGCAAAGAGAATACTAGCTTCTTATTTTGTGAAGTTATTCGATAAGCCAACTGTGGAGTCGGCTCGAGCTTCAGACAAATGACTGATGATACTCCGAACACGTCGTTAAGCAAACCACAGATGAAACCTGGCGGAAGATTAAGGAGCGTAGAGAAGCAAAAGCCGCGATAGAGCGGGCGAGAATAAGAGGAGCCAAGAACGAAGCCCGTCAACGGTACTCGGATCTAGAGAAGGAAGTCAAGCGCTTTTGCAGACGGGACAAGCGAGCGTGGGTGAACTCCCTGGCCTCCTCTACGATATCTCACGACGCCTGAGTGGAGCAAGGATGAACCCTAGGATGCCAATGAAGGACACGACTGGACAATTGCTTACCGACCCCACTGACCAGCTGAAACGCTGGTTTGAGCACTTCGAACAACTTCTTCAAGTTTCGACGGTCAACCAGCCATCAACATCTCGG